TGGCATATAGGTATAAATCACATTCCGTCATCGTATTGAACATTGCATGATGTTGGTGTACTTTGTCTATGTAATACATCGGTCAACGTGTTACGAGAAATGACATAACACTGTAAAGCACCCGTGAGACGAATTTGAACATAGTGTGGCTAAAACTGTGATAAAATTCCCTTTCAACGTCATTTGGTATGACGCCTGACTGCAGCCTGGCAAGTTTTTTGCTTTTCCCGTACATATTCAGTTTCAAGGCTGAAAATGTCCACCGTAGGACGCTACATCATGACTCATCAATAGCTAATTTATTGCGAAATAGGTTGTTGATATGTATCAAATCAGAATGTTGTTCAGAAAGGGCCAACTACATGTTCGAGTAGTGTAAACATGATTGCAGGACACCTGTCACGAACTCCTATGTGAGACCACAGTCGTCGTGACCCCTATCCTGCAGTGGTTTCGACCGTTGACCTTTCTTGTGTAAGATACGACGTTTACGTAAAGTTAGCAGTTTTAAGTCGTTTCTTGCTCAGTTTTCTGAACAATTTGGTCACTGAGAGGTCCAAAAATGTTCCACGTTGTCTCCAGGTCGGCCCAAAGACTATCGAGCACAGTAAGTTGTAATTTTGGTGTCTTTTGTTTTGATTTTTATACACAGACGCAGAGGAAGATGGGGAGGGGAAACATTATTAGGAACATCAACAAAATTTATGAGCACAAGGTTCAACATGGCGTTTAATATCATATTTGTAGATTACAGAAATAGTAGTATTACATTTACAATAAAGAAAGATCCGCCGTCTCCAAAATATGTATATTTATACCAATCAATTCTGATGCCCCCCTCCCCTCATAAAAGTCATATAGACTGATTACAATGATTTATAGCAAGGACCTACATTCAGCCTCCTTAGTTTTTTTACATTGCTGTTACTTTTCTAGCTCACTAGCTTACAAACAAACAAATGAGGTGTTTATAACTCTCCTCTGGACCTCTGGCTTTACGTACCGTCCGAGAGGTCATCCCTAACTGAAGCTTAGGTACTCATTTGTCACCTGAGTTGAGTGAGGAAAAAAATGTATTTAGTACCATTCACAAGGGTACAACATTGGGGATTAGAACCCAGAATCTTGCGATCCTACTAGTAAGTCAACTAAATAAATGAATAAGTAAACTACCCTAATCACAAGGCCACCATACCACCTTACCCGTCATCATCATCATCATCATCTTGTTTACCCGCAAATAACCCAGCAAAGGGTGCCGTTAAGGAGGGCCTGCAAGGGGGGTCCCGACAACGCTCTACGCTGAATTCAGAAACCTCTCGATTATGCTTTACGATAAATTCCAAGTGGCTACAACGCATTACGTAGAATTAAAACGGCGAATACGCTCTACGCAAAATTTTAGAGCAGCCCATCTACGCTCTGCGTAGTATTAAAACGGCCAATTACGCTCTACGGAAAAGGGCTTGCGGGCGTTAAGGGGTGAGAAGAGGCCCGGGCTAAGGCTGGCAGGCCGCCAGCCCGGCTCGGAAGGACTCAACATTAGGAGCCACAACTACCGAGCCGGGCAAGGAGTTCCAAGGAGGCAACATGTAGTTCCCACTTGGCAAAATCTTACTTAACCCTTTGACCTGTGTTCTCTTTCCTAGGCCAGTGTTCTAAGACGTCTGAACAGCACACTCGTGATCGCTGAACACAACAATGCACAGCTGACCCCCATCACACTCAACACCATCACTGCTGCTGCTAAACTAGGGGGGGACATCGCCTGCCTGGTGGCTGGGAGCAAATGTGCTTCTGTAAGCTCTCGTCTTTTTTTTTGTTGTTGTTAAAAGATATCACAGTTTGAACAATATTTGAACAACATTTTTTGTACAATTGTAAGTTACATGTATTTCAACCTAACACAGAAAGTTTGGAAACTTGATTTCAGTCAATCACATTGTTGTTTTTACCTCATCAATTGTATTGCAAGTAATAGTATCAGTAGAAAACTCATTTATTACCCTTTATTTATTACTATTACAATACTCACTTTGCTGTGATACATGTAGATTTATGAGTTAAGCACGAAGGGCTGTTTATCAGAGTGGGTCACAAAAAGTACCAAAATTTTCCTTGATTATGCAAATATTGTCCATTGTTTATTCCTATATTTGTCTTGTATCAATAAAATGCCAACTGAAACAAGGTTCCATTCCTCTTGACCACAAGTTTGAAAATTGTAGGTTGCTACATGTTACTAACAGTAACACATGACCGTTTTGGTCTCACTGGGTGCTTCAAATTCGTTACAGGTTGTGGAGGAACTCACCAAAGTTGGTGGTGTCCAGAAGATCTTGGTGGCTGAAAATGAAGTCTTCAATGGATTTTTGCCAGGTATGAATATGCATCTACCAATATTGTCCTCTTTTATTTGTTTCATAAAACTTAACCTTTTATTTCGTACTGTACAATGTACTTGCGTGTATATAGTATACAAACCTCCTTTATTTTTATCATAGAACTTTACCTTTTTATTTTAATCATATTTGCATTTGTCATGATAATGGATGACGTGCCATTTGCTGCTATAGATTAGAAGGTCATAACCATTTAAAATTGGGCATGGCTGTATGAATGGGTAGTTTATTGGGCAGGTTTTACTGTAATAAGAGTTCGGGTCTGAATCTTTTATAGTATTGTACAAAGTTTTTCAAGCCCTAAGTGGGTAACTGTTGGCATCGTAAACCATGCACAGTTCCTGTGTTTTTGTATTGCTACCATATACAGTATATAAATCATATCGAATATCTCATGGACCCTACAGAAGCGATAACTCCACTGATCCTAGAGACGCAGAAGCAGTTCAACTTTTCTCACATCGCAGCAGGAGCAACTGCATTTGGCAAGGTAAGTACTGTAGATTTTTTAATCTAAATGTTTGTGGTGGCTTTGTTTTTTCTATGACTTCACAGTAAAATCATGAAAATGTGTTTCCATTATATTATTACTACAGAATTACTCAAGTGCCACTGCAAAAACCTTCTTTGTCCTCTTACTGTGAAACTAAGTCCAGTATATAACATGTAGCTGGTAACATGCCTCATGATAGGCCAGACTGCACAAGAGGATACTTTATTACCACTTTCTTATTGTACCTATCATCTCTATATGTCCATTTTGTCTAGAAAAACAGGGTATGACTAGGAGTATTCGAAAAAGAGTTAAAGAGGTCTGGAAGAGAATTTTCAACAAGCATAGGATGAAATGTGAAGTACAGTGCCGGTAGTTCTTGCCTCCTGACAGCGTGTCATCTTGATAACCCGGATATAACCAACACTTATGGATGTGTTACCTCCAGCAAGCCAGATCACCCCACTTCCCTCACCATTATCACTCTGTCAATCTCTTTCACCTGGAGGTGTATTCCTCAGTAGAATCATGTCTCCCAACTAGTCTCCATTTGTCAAGCTGTCCGCCGTCTGGCCCCGGCCACAGACACCCAGATTTCCATCTCCGCTCTCCCAACAGTTGCCCCGGAGCGGCCCATCCGTCACTGACTGGTTGACCACTAGTCACCCAATTGATTTGTGTAGCAGTCTTTATCAGTAGACAATGCAGAAGGGTGCTGGGAGGAAGTGAACAATGTGTGCAGGCTGTGTAGTCACTCCCCACCGTTACAGAGACTGATGTACACTACCGGGAGATAAACACTCTTATAACATGTTGTATACTTTGGCTGTAAAACATATCCGACTGGACAGATAGGTCTACACATAAAAGTGAGAGATTGTTGACGTTGGTCTTTTGTCAGGACGTCTTCCTTTTGTTACATCTCGCTGGGATGACCTAAAGGGGACCGGTATTGAGGAGAAGAGATAAAGTCAGCCTTTGGGTAATCGTCTGTTTTGAGTTTAAGCCTGGATGATTTGGATAGGAGCCATAGTCTGACACACAGACAAGGTTACACTCCATCTCTCAATCTTGAAGTTTTAGACCTTGGAAACTTAGAATTTTCCCAGTTTGTGTGGTGAGATATGATATCGCCTCAGTACAAGTACCGTGATAACCATCTACAGTGCGTATCTATCTCCTGTACATCATCAACGTGTAACATTTCCACGGGATATGGACACATCCAAGTGGTATCTTACTGTGTCATCTCTGAATAACAGATAGCTGAATTGTTATACATGTGTTTTGCTAATTCTACACCTATGTGGTAAAACTGAAGAACAAAGAGCTTGCTTGCTGTTTTTTTCAGCTCTAGATTTTTGTCAACCATCTCAGCAAGCTCTTGCTAGCTCTTGACATGATTTCACCTTATTATACAAGAAGAGAAACATAGTTGTTTCCTCTATGTTTGTATCTTCTTCTGCCTTTAAAAAAATTTACAGCTCTTGGTGGCAAATATGCAGATGTGGGACGTGGCACACCAAATCTGTAGTGTCTTCTTGGCACACATTTAGCCAAAGAGGCTCGGTGGGCGTCATTCCACTGCCAGGAAAGGGAAGGTAGTGTAAAGTGCCTTTCCTAAGGGCACAAAGTTTGGGCATGGTGAATATTGAACCCGGGACCTATTGGTTACGAGTCCAATAACTGTTGGGCCTCCGATGCCACTCTTCTGCCATTTGGTCCAATAGATGCAGCTCTTACATGTTAACTGATGTTGTTCCCTGACCAGAGCCTGCTGCCCAGAGTGGCCGCCAAGCTGGATGTGAACCCCATCTCTGACATCATCGACATCAAGGATGCAGACACCTTTGTCAGAACCATCTATGCAGGTGAACCTGTGTTACTAAGTAGTGGACCCAGATGACATACATGTAACATTGTACATATCACATGGAGAAGATATTAGTTATGCTGGATGATGTACTCATTGGTCACAGCTCAAAATACTGATTTTGATTTCATGTTTTAAGTTGAAACTTTTGATCCAATGCAAAGAATGGTTCTCACGGTCTCACCTATAGAGCTGTCAATCAGTCAGTCTGGTCTTCCTCAATAGACTTACCCAGTGACTCAATTTCAATTTTTGTCTCATTATCATTAGTAATGATGTACTAAATTGATAATGTAGACCAAGTTGAACACATACCTCTACTAGCCTCCTGTTGCAATGTTTGCACAAGTATGTGGCCCAAGGGCAAATGGAGACAGGTGCTGCCCCACATTCCATATGATGTGGGAAGAACTTGAATCTAACTACGATTGCCTCTTCATTCCTGTTAAGCTGATGATATATTGTGTTAATTTCATGATTGTCAGGAAATGCTATCTGCACGGTGAAGTCCAAAGATGGAGTGAAGGTGTTCACTGTGAGGGGAACAGCTTTCCCCGCTGCAGAGGCTGCTGGGGGACAGGCCGCCTGTGAACAAGGTAAGTAAAGATTAGGTTAAGGTCCCAGACCAGAGTTTTTAGGTTAAGGTCCCAGACCAGAGATTTTCCTTACATTTTCATACCAGAAAATTTTCCATTGACTGAATGTCGATATGCAATGAGAAATGTTTAATTTAGTTTACTATGTAAAAAAAAAGACCAAAATATTGAATTTGAAAAAAAAATTAAAAATCATTAAAATCCTATAAAAGTCCAATAATGTTTTGTATATAGTTGTGATTGGTGAATTTATTGAATATATTTGTTAATTTGTTTACCCAGCTCCAGCAGTTGACGTGAAGAATGACCAGTCAACGTTTGAAGGCCAGTCCTTGTCAAAGAGCGACCGTCCAGAACTGACCAGTGCTAAGACAGTTATATCTGGAGGTAAGACATCATGTTTTGCTTGAACTTTTTTTTTAGACTTCGATGATCCATTAGTGATCCAACTCTATACAATAACGTTTAATAAAGTAAAACTTGCATGTCAGAGTACACTTATATTTTCAATGTCAATGTTAGAACACATTTTGTACAGTGTTTCATCACTCAGGTGTCAGATCATGGAGCTAGAAAAGGTTGATCAGGTAAAAAAATTCATGTCCCTTGCAGGGGTACACACAGGAAAAAGGCTAGGGTCAGCAGTTTTTTGTAGCGTCGGTCGGGAAACAGGAAACACAACATTTTTTTCCTAGGCCTAGGCAGTATCAGTCACCCCTAGGTATATAGACCAGGCACACTACCAACACACTACTGTATGTTTCCAGGCCGTGGGATGAAGAATGGAGAGAACTTTGAGCTGCTGTATAAGCTGGCTGACAAACTGAACGCTGCAGGTAGGAACTGTTATGTCATAGGACTGCCATATTAGATATACATTGTACTTACTCTCAAGAGATGAGGAACATATTGTTAAAATCATCAGAATTTTTATGGAAGTCTTGCTACACTGTTTGTCAGTCACATTAGAGCAGGCTACCCTTGGAAAAGGAAATTTGTACCAAGAGCTGCTATAGAACTATCTATATAATAATACAGTGTAATGTTGTAATGTTGAGATTATCATAGTGGGGGTAGCAATTCCACTTGTATACATCCTAGGCCACACCAGCTACACTTATGGGTTCTCAGATGACACAATGTATAAGACATTGTGAGATCAACATGAAACCAGAGGCTGAGAGAAAGTCTGTACCTCGGCACAGCAACAAGGAGTGAATATCGTCTGATCAAATCTTCCTCCAAGCCTTTCTTTTCATGTTGTCTTGTTGCCTGATCTATTACTTAAGAATATATGAGAACTAGATATTGGTGAGGGCAAAATACTGATGATATACAAAATACATTGATTTCATAATGAAACCACTGACCTTAAGTCAGGACACTAGGCAATCTGACCACCTCTTGTTTTGCAGTTGGAGCGTCCCGTGCTGCAGTCGACGCTGGCTTTGTTCCCAACGACATGCAAGTGGGCCAAACGGGGAAGATTGTTGCTCCTGTGAGTATCACACTTTCTCTTCTAACAACTGTTACGTCCCTTGTGAGGTACCCAAGGGCACGTCGGGACAAAAATGTGGAAAATAAAATGTTGGATGGCAACAAACAGGTTTGAATGTGTTGTGCTAGTTTAAATAGCATTAGTGCCAGAAGTCTCCTCGACGAAACGCCAATACTAAAGGCAATCAAAACAAGAAAGTTGAAAGAAGATGTTGAGAAGCAACAAACAGATTTGAATATGATACACACTTTAAAATAGGGTTAGAGGTAGAAATGTCTTTGACAAACCCCACTGGTACACCAGTTAAAGGGTGTCTTTATAAGTACGGTGTGGTTTGGCCAGAGGCGCTGCAAAATTCTAATCATGCATATATAAAGTGTAACACATTTCTATACCCCATAATTCCTTCATGTAGGGACACACCATTTGGTGTAATTAGGGGACAGCTGTATGAAAATATTGGTCATCACCATGAGCTACTTTCTTTCATTATTTTGATAATTTTCTTCTTTCAGCTTGTGTGAATCATTGCTTCTTATGGAGCTTCAGGTTCTCATGTACACGCAGCTTGAGACTGCTAACTTGCCCAACTAGATGTACTGCCCGTTATCCCAGACAAATTACACTGTGCCCCGTCCGCCAGCCCACTGGGTCCCAACGGTCGTGTTCTCCTAATTAATAACACTTGTTCCTCTCGTGTTTTACGATAAATTTTGACAGCTCGGTAATGAAAATGTTGATTATCTTGTGGGGGAAATAGGAGCCGTGTATGGTGGAATGGGCATCAATGCTGTGGAGATTAGAAGTGTCATTAAACTGCCCATAGTCGTCCGTTTTCATCACCGCGTGCAACACGGCCACAGTTCCCCCTGCAGCATATGTCAGGGCAGTCCCCCTACTTGTAGCCAAAGTCATTCATGAGAAACCATTCAGGAGAAACAATTTATTAATACAAATAGCTTCATTTGTGTAGGGTCGAGATGGATGCATGTTTGATACAGACTCCTTTGAGGTGTGAATTGGGCCTGAATAGGAAACCTGTAAAAACAGATCCGTCAACTGTGCCTTTGTTAGCGGTGGCAATCTGGTTAACACGGGATTGTATTGGATTTCAGCTTCTGTGGGGTTTTATGAGATCTTTCATTATTGTCTCTGTCAGTATTAGTAATGATATTGATTTGGAGAAAATGAGCACATTTCCTCTGCAAATTATAGTGGCGGCCTTGGTCCGGCGTGAAACGAATGGGATTGGTACCAGGCCAAATTACACGCATAAATGTGATCAGTTGGTTGGCAAAGGGGCAAGGAAATGCTGCAAAAACTTTGGCTATATCTTATATAGTTGATTGTCTATATTTTTTTCTAATTTCCATGGTGTTCACTACACTAGAATTTATGTAAAAGTCAGTAACATTTATGTTCTGTTAAAAACCACACAAAACTGTGTACTCCAATGAAAACACTCTAAAATTCAGCAATCACAAAAAAATCACAAAATATGACTTACTAGTAGTGTATTCCCTTGTACCGGAGAGCCTTGTGTATGTTTCTTCTCTCTCACAAGTCTCACTCTTGCCGTAACACAACACTTATATTTGGTTCTGCTGCCGGTGGAGAAATGCGACCCGATGATTGATAGCAGTCTTGCCCAGCCTGAGGCTGTATTACGTAGGTTCCTTGTTTCGGCGTGGCCAGATTGCGATCTTTCATTGTGCAGATTGCCAGCGCTACGGGCCCAACTTGTAATCATAGATTAGTCAATAATGAGACTAACAAGACATGTTACACCAACTAAAGACACCTGGTTAACCCAATCTCATACTCAATCCTGTAATAATGTACCACTATCTCTGGATACGTAGAACTCAGGCAATGTTCTTCGCTAAGATTGGGAACTGGATGCTAATGTGTGAAAGACCAACAAGCTAAACCTTGCTGTGTCCTTGTTCTAGGAGCTGTACATTGCTGTGGGGATTTCTGGAGCCATCCAACATCTGGCTGGCATGAAGGACAGCAAGGTCAGTAGCAGTACCCACCATGCACTGCAATACAACTGTCGCACATAATAAACTTGGCACAAAAAGTTTCAATGTATTATATATCATTGGAATGCATGTGTGATTTCCTTTCCTATGATATCCAAGTTATTATGATTGTACGGAAAAATGATCAAACAAAGTTGAATATTCCAAACTTTTCATGCCAAGTTTATGTGCAGAATAAAACTACAGAGAAAAACTCTGTAGCTTACAAAAGGGCAGTTTGTGGTTTGCCACAGCCTTTGGCTTCTCTGAAACTTTTTATTTGATGTGTTTGTAGATAGTATAAATTGTATTAGGAAAAAGAGTTCTAAAAAATCTCCTGGTCAGAGATGTTATTTCCGTATGTTATTTTATGTGGTGCAGATTGTGACATTTCCATGTGTTTTTATCCAGGTGATTGTTGCCATCAACAAGGATCCAGAAGCTCCCATCTTCCAAGTGGCTGACCACGGGCTAGTGGCCGATCTCTTCAAGGTCAGTGTCTTCAGATTGTTCAGTCAGGGAAGTTTCCTGTCTAGATAGCTGTGTAGCTTTAGTTTGCTATTCACAGCCTCCAAGTATCAATTTTGAAATCTTCCCATTTGATAGCTAGCAGTAACATGGTTATATAAGCAATTGTCATGAATGGACTTTTTTCCTCTTTGTCTGCAGGTTGTTCCTGAGATGACAGAAATATTGGAGAAGTAACATGCTTGAGACTGTGTAATATACATGTATGTAGTGATATCTGCAAGGGTTCAGGGTTATGTGTCTAAATATTGGAAATTGAATACTAAATGACTGCCATGTTTTGAAGTGGACATGTTATATCAGCTGTAAAGATTAATCTGCTGTGTTGATCATAAGAAAGATCTTTGTATTGCCACTGTATTTTTTCTAGCTCTCTTCCATACAGACACACATAACATCAATACTTTCTCCAGACCAAGCAGCCATTATACAAGGTTTGTGTTATGCCTACACTATTACATACTTCATACAACATTAAAGATCAAACGAGAACCATACCTCTGGGTGTCATCATTACTTCGTGAGCAAGCACCAATATGGGGAGGTCTTGATGAAGTCTGTATCAGAGCACATCGTTAATGAGGTTGTGGCTTTATTGTACCATAGAGTGCCATGGTACCAATTTTTTCCCTGTCTTTATATCTTGGTTCTGCCTCCAGATGGTACTTAAGTTTGATAGAGATAATTGAGCACCAGGCTCCCGTGTAATATTACCTGTACAGGGTTATTATGGCTGTAGTGATGGGGAAAAGTCAGCAATGGGGATGGCAGAACAGCAACAGGCACAGGTCACCATGGTGATGTCACAGCAACAGGTCACCATGGTGATGTCAGATCAGGTACAGGTCACCATGGTGATGGCAGATCATCACCAGGTCACCATGGTGATGGCAGATCAGCACCAGGTCACCATGGTGATGGCAGATCAGCACCAGGTCACCATGGTGATGGCAGATCAGCACCATGTCACCATGGTGATGGCAGATCAGCACCAGGTCACCATGGTGATGGCAGATCAGCACTAGGTCACCATGGTGATGGCAGATACACTGCATATTGTTGATTATACAGTACATTGTCTCTATGACCTTGAAGTACAAATGGCAACAACCATGCAAAGATCCTATCGTGTAGAAGCAGTGTAAAGACCATCTCAATGTGCACTTTCTGGCACATAGTCAGCGATAACCTTGACTTTAACAGCTTGTTTAGAATGCACACATAATAACTTCATACCTCTATTTCACTTTCATTGTCAGGATTAGAAGACATAAATATCCTTCAAATTTTATCCAAAATCACTATTCATTGCCAAAGCAATAGCAAATGATTTGTTGCAATTTCCATACATAAAACATAACTATGAATAAGAGAGGCGCTACGTAATTTGCAACTACCAGGCTCAAGGTAAAGGGGGGGACAATTTTGCTAGTTCTATTTGATGCCTCCCATGTGGCTGTCATCAGCAGAAATTGTCGTCCCCATTATGTAGAAATGGAAGTGAAAATGATCAACATTGGGGACGGGGTACAGTTCTGGCTGTCCCATCCATCTACAGATTAATCTGGCTGTATTTAAGTGTAGATCAATGAAACAATCCATGTTAATGCTAATTAATAATCATTATCACCAGCTAATGTAGTAGCTATGCATGAAATTTATTCATGACATACATATGTAACACATACTAGTAACACACAATGCACAAAACAGTAGTGCACATACATTGTATGTCAGTGCATAGTCCTCTGTGCACTGAAACAATGTGTTATACTGGAATATTCTAGTCATGTTCAGTTAGAAAATGCAGATTTCCCCACAAATATAATGTGACCAGGATGGAGGCATGGGTGTTTTGATTAACGCTTCTTGCATTTTTCTAGTCTTAAAAAATTTTGCCATGTTGCAGTCCTCCACCAAAATGAGTCCATAAGTCTTTATCTTAATTTTACAAATGGCAAAAGATATTCTCCCAATCTGTTAGGTTTGAATTCCTTTAGTGTTGACTAGGAGAGCAGATTCATGTACAGGAAATGTGTGGCATCATTATGATTTTACAAGAAGAATTATGGAGAACCTACAGAATTTATTGTGATCTTTTGTGCTCAAGGTTTTTACATACCTCATGACATAGGTCTTGTATGAGGCCATGCCCAAACCTATATACACAAAATTGTGCTCATGTTGTACCATAAATTTCTTTCTTGTTTTTTGTTCATCATAACATTATTAAATATTAAAGAGTTTGAATTTTTCAAACTATTAGGTATGAAGACTGTTCATATCCCCAGACCTATAGAGATATGTACATGTTGTATTATTGTACATGTGCAATTTCAGTTGCCTTCAGTACCAGTAACTGGGCCAGGGGTAATATTTAATGAACAGATCTTGTATTACATCTGTGTCCTCTATATGTATTTGGTAACTTTAACTGAGTGCAGGCAATAGCAACAAGTAAGGGCACTTCAACATTAGCTTACAAGAATTCTGATTGAAGCCACAAATGTCCTGAATGAATTCCTAATGATGAGCCAGAAAAGATAACTGGGACAATTTAATTCAGAAATCACAAATAACAGGAATGATATTGAAAATATTGCACAACAGAGCTCTATTGCCCCAAAAAGGACAAGTACAAAAATGATTAAGTATGATAATGATAAAACTGCTCATATTGTTACCTTCATTATACCTGGGTTTACCTTCTTACAATCATTTCTTAAATTGACATTTATCTAAACAATAAAAAGAACACCCAGAGAGACAATATTTCCAGTAAAATTGTTGTTGTGAATTCCAGTTGTACATGTAGTTTCCAAGTCAGCTATGTCTCTGATATATCAAGAAATAAGAATGAACATCTACTGGGTATTTTGTGTTCGGTCCAGAATATGCCATAGTGACTTTACATTATTACACAGAGCAAGGACATTATACACAGACTGTGTATAATGTCCTTGTCTATACCAAGGACATTATACTCTGTGTATAATGTCCTTGCACAGAGTTTTCTGAGAAGTTGCTACCATAAAAAATATGTCGGTATAGAAAAACAATATTCATCATAGTGACAACTTTTAAAACACAGACATTATAACTGCTTTGGTGTAGTGTGTAGCAACTTTGAAAAATATGTAAAATTCTCTATGTGCGACTGATTCATTGTCACTAAAGCCTTGCTGCAATTATGGAGATCGGAATGTGTGGCTCGGGAAAATTGAGGTTAAATCTATCATTTTGCTGAAATTGGCAATCCCATTGTGAGCCTGATATGTAGGTGTTGGAGTAATTTCTGTCCCTGTGTTCAGGGGAACACCTATGGTAATTAAACTGAGACAGAGAGGAAATTGCACTATTACTGGAATACTGCTGGTTAAGTGGGCAACAGAATCGAAAACTGGCACCACAATCATCAAAATTCTACAGATAAAAATTACCAGTACTTTCCCTGGTGGGGTAGTGGGGCTTTTGATACATTTTCAGTCATATATTCATATTTTTCTTTTATTATTTTCCCAGAGAATTTTGATGAACATTAGACATGTATTTGCACAAATGAAAAATATACACCAAAGTATTATACCTTTGCAATACATGAAAGTGAACATTAGGATATACATGTATAATATATAATCAACACCATTGTGTGATATAAGGATGTGATAATTATAAATTTTTTGTCATATCAATCTGTGGACACTAGTTATCATATTGCATTCTCTCATCCACTTGTGTCGAGGCCACTGGTTGCAACCATTCTTTCTAACAGCTTGGTCACAATCATCGTACAATCTTTTATTCATATGGAAGGAAACAAGGCTTCGTATGATAAAACTGACTGTCAAGAAGGATGTCCTCAATTTGCATTGCAAACCTACAGAAAACCAGGCCTTGAAACACTCATAAGCAGCATTTCCAAGTCATCAGTTCCCTCACATCTGCTTCCAGGGTTCAGTGATATGCTTTATTTTCACCATAGCTAGAGTGCAGTTGCTGGAGCATTTCCATTCTGATAGAACTGTAGGCGAAAGAGAACAAAGGGCAGAGACATGTCAATCTCAGCGCAAAACACAACACACTGAGGACCTCTAGCAGTTAACTGCAGTACTAGAGATCATGAGCAAAATGAAACAGGTCACAATCAGTTTTTTGCTTAATCATGTGCCTACGTTATATGCCTACAATTGGTAAGAAGCAATTTGCATTGCTAAATATTAATAGGAGTAAGAAGCACTGCAACTTACCTGTTCTATGACTATTTCATTGCAGTACCCAGTGTCACCTTTCTGCTGCAGTTCTGTCATCTCCAGCAAGAGGGCACCATTAACATAACTATCCCCACTGCCAGCTTTCTTCTTTCCCTTTCTGACTTTGCCATTGGTCTGTGCAGTAGCTGTGTTGTTTTTAGAAACCGTTTTGTTATCCATTGATACAGCTTTTTTATGATCATCGTCCAATGATTTGTTAACCTTTATTTCACTGACTTTGTTCTTGCTGTGAGACACTTTTCCGTTGCTAGGCATAGATTTATTGTCTCTGAACAGAAGTCTGCTGTCTTTGTTAGAAGGAAGCTTTCCGTCGAGGAACTTCTTGCCCGTGCTGTCGTTCCTGTGCTGCAAAATGATCTCACTCCCGATGACGTCTATACGATCCATGTCGCAGCTGCTCACGGCGGGATTGCGTTTACTGTTACTACATGGACTTCTGTTGCTGTGCTGTTGATGACTCCCTCTGGGTTCTACCACGGTAAGTGCCTGCTGGCCACATTTTGGAAGTTGCGTGACACCGCTGGAGTTTGCGTGATTCCTTGACTCATCGTTGGTTTGCTGCTGTGGCCTGGTTTCCTCGCAGATCCCGCTGTCTCCGGTGGTGCTCTCGGACAGACGACTGGCGATGGTTCCGGACGGTACGTCGTTAGAGTCAGACAGTTGGTGGGCGTGCACCACGATGGTAGAGTAGGGAGAGTCTCTGCCACCATCTGTACATGACAAATTGAATTTTGGGCCATTACCTGGGGTTTTGGCAGTTTACGTAATGACCAAGAAATGCACCAGAAATTCAAAGTGAAAGCTTTTCTACAAAATGTATAAACAATTTTCTAGAATTGCCTGCACCAGAGTAGAGCATCCTGATTTAAGGCAACACGGTTGAGTTTCTGGAATGAAGATTATGTAAAAAAACTAAGCTGCAAGGGGCCCCAAAATCTAACCATAACCACTTATCAGACATCAGGGCGATTCATTCTTAGCATAAACATCATAATCTTTCCGGTATTTTTAGATTTGATAACACTACAAGATGTAGAGGCTGACCTCTCTGTCTGCCCTTGTTCCTGCCCTGTCTCTGCTCGATGGTGTGGATGAGCTGTGCCACATACTGAGAGTCTTTCCTCTCCAGGGCCACCTGCAGCTGCTGACTCACATTGTCCTCCTCAGCCTCTCGTCTTCCTAACAACAACCGCAACCTGTGGATCTCCTCCTGCAGGGACACACCATCGTCATGGTAATCCTACAATCTCACTGCCGGTCAGGCGTTTTTGGAGACCCTTTTTTGGTGTAAGCACCTTCGATTTTGTCTGGGGATGTATATTTTTATCCTGATGTGAACGGTGCTACAAAATGGTAAAAGAAATGTGCCAAAATCAGCATGTGTAGTTCAATCGTTTTCAAAAATTGTGTCTTAGATTTTCCAGGAGTATCCCTCCTTTCATTTCTTGCACTTAGGGTTCGAAAAAACCTGTAGCAATGACATATATCATATACATGCACTGGTATATTGGTATAATAGAACTTATAGAAGCAAATAATCCTGCTGTCTGGCAAGCTGTAATGAGAGGAGCAAGAGAGAGCCTCTGGCCTGGACACTTAGGCAGGCAGGGATCTACTTGATGAAGACGATGCTCTACTTACCTGGTTCTCATCATGCATCAGGTACAGAGTTTGCAGCTCCTGGTGAGCTCTCCTCTGGGCCTGCAGCAGCACATGGACCTTCCTGCTGGCCTCCTCCCGCACTGGAGACACACAGCCTTTCCAAAAAACACTCTTAATTATCATCAATCAGACATAATAGGTCACATTATTACATGTATCATGGAAGTTCATCTGTGTTGGTAGTAATCATAGTACAATGCTGAACTTTCTTCAAACACAAGGGTACACAAGGATCAAACTTCCAATGACCACTGTCGCCTTCATCAGGATAAGAAATGACTAGTCACTTCCGAACGTAAACAGAATTGATCAACATCAAGAATCTATGACACGACAGCCTTTTCCATCACAAGACAGCTGACTTTTGCACAACACCTCCATGACTCTCAACTTCTATTGTACAACCAATGTAACAGCACCAATGTTCAACCCTCCCAGCGGTCACCCTTAATGATTTTGCTGGTGGGTGGCACGAAAACGGGAAGCATGGAGATACATGTACCTTGTACCACTCGGTAGCATCGCCATATCCTCAGGATGATGACGAGGCTGAAACCGTCCCACGCAGTAGACGGCGCCAGCTCAACAGACACGACAATCATGGGGACACAGGCTATGATGACAACCGCCAAGTCCAGCACCTTTCAAACAACATATAGTACAACCATTGGAGAAACATTTATGCAGTTTGTTTCAAATTGCTAATTCCCATTAATATATATGAGCGATTAAGATGATGTCACAGCCGGTGAGTGGTAGGCAAAATGTGGATGACGGTTGGCTGATTTGCCTACCAGTAATTTCCATACGTCTTCAAACCATTTGCATGTTAACGCACTCATAAATTAGTAAGCAGGCACTGTAAACCGGTGTCACACAGGAGTAAAATAGCTCTCCCAACAAGTCTGTGAGCTCTTAGGACATTTTGACAGCAATACAGCCAGTGTCTGCTCAATCCCAGTATGATTTTTAGAGACTGACTGATGTTTGCAGGGCACAGAGCACCATTCAGTATGATAGGGTGGATTTTTAGCCAAAAAATATGCTCGACTCTCTGGTGAGTTTGAGATGCAGGGAATAACAACTTTGACAGAAGTTTTACCTCAATTTTCTTGTCAAAAAACTGCATCTGATGACATACCAGCCTTGTCAGCACCTGAAACAAGAAACACAGAATACAAACTGTAGGTTTCCCCACAGGCTGAAGGCTACCAGGTAACACATTCTTCAGTCACATACTGTAACATGCTTAAGCAACATTTATGCTGAAATCTCAGTAGAGATACAAAACACAAGCAAACACACAGATACATCTTACAGACTAAAATACATAAGCATGCAAGTAATTTTGTTTTTTGCTGTTTTATTTTCATTTTTCATTTCATTTTATCAGTTTCTATATTGCCAGATTCACCCTCTGGCAAACTATTTTCTGTTGCCATTGTCACTACAGAAATGACAATCAAAAGAGAATTTTCCAACCTGACAACCAGGAGATCAAACTTATGTGCCCCAAAAGGTCTTAAAAACACTGATAACATAGATACACAAGGAGAGAGTGTCACACAGAGGACATTTGACAGCATCTACTTACAGCACAAAGGATAGCGACGCAGCTTGGTAACAACAAGAATTACAACACAGTTAGAAAGAACAGGTCTTCTACAAACATGTCAGGAAGGACACTGCAAGGACATACAAGTACTGGTAGTTGGCTAACCATCTAATGTCAGCAAATGTCTATCACTCAGAATATACCAGATTTATGCTATGTTTTATTTTACACCAATTTTATTTGAATACTGACTTAAGGCATAACACAGCAGTTTTGTAAGTATGAGTTACATAGGACTGGACTGTTAGCTTTGATCCATTCACACTGCGAACTACCGATGACTAATTGATATGTGTGGTGGGCTCTTAAGTGTACTCAAGGTGACTCCTCGAACATGGGACCTCGACTTTATGTCCCATACAAGAGGATGTCCCTGAGTGAAGCTAGGTACTCATTTTCAGTGGAGGTAAGATATTGTAAAGTGCCTTTTCCAAGGGCACAACAATAAGACCTTCTTGGGATTCAAACCCAGAACTTTTGGATTTAACAACCTTGACCTAAGCTTAATACAATGTTCTGAAGTATGACTGTCTTGCATCCTGCACTAAGCAACACCAGTATGGTACTGAAGGGACATTTAATTGCTTAAGAGAAGACAACTTTCATTTTTGAAAGGTACGAAAGTTCTCACCTCTACAGTAAATACAGACAGCACACCTAGTCCCACCCAGTGGATAATCCTGGCAACCATTTTGTCATGGTGAACTGTGAAAACAACATCAAAACAGCCTGAACTTTTTTGTTAAGTTATAACAAAACAGGGCTACACAAAGGACAGGTATGTTTGGGTGGTATGTTTGCCTGTGTGTGGATAGTGTTCAGCACCAAGGACAGGTATGTTAGCATGTGTGTGAATAGTATTCAGCACCAAGGACAGGTATATTAACTTGTGTGTGTGAAGTGTTCAGCACCAAGGACAGGTATATTTACTTGTGTGTGTATGTTCAGCACCAAGGACAGGTATGTTAACTGGATAGTGTTCAGCACCAAGGAAGGATTTACCTATGTGTGGATGGTGGTCAGCACTAGTGTCAGGTATGTTTGCCTGTGTGTATGGTGTTCAGTACCAAGGACAAACATGTTCCCTTATGTATGAATGGGCTTCAGCACTTAGGGACAGGTATGTTTATGTATGTATGATATTCAGCACCAGGGACAGGTATATTTGCTCAATTTCAATGGTATTCTCACAGAATCCATGAGATTCTATGTTAAATGTGTGTATGGTTTAGAGCCTCTGAATCAGAGGAACTTACAATGTATGGCACTTAGATCTACCAACAGCTCCAAAAGCAGCACATGTGAAAGCAGCCATGATGTCAGCACAATAGTAATCTGGGTGGCTGGACCGTCTAGAAGCTGCTGTACTCTCTGCTTACATGTCTTCTCCTCTCTGTGAGAAGGAAAACAAGAAGAAGATGAATAAAGGTGTAATCATTTGAATACCCATCCACACTCAAGTTTCAGTACAGACCTTGATGAAGAAAGTTAGGATACTTAGATGAATTCTGACTTGTAAAAAAATTGTAACATGCCATTTCAATTGTAAAAGCTAGCTACATATTTAACTTAACTGAGGTGCATTTATGATGTTAGAAACCGTTCTACTGTTGTCGGAAGTAGGGTACACCCCATCTGTGATGCAAGCCAGTTTTGTGGTCAGGTAAGTCTGAAGTCATCTGCTTATGATTCCACATCTCCAGTAAACAGACCAGATCATAATTAGTCTACTGAATCAGTCATGTCTTCTCAACCATACATAAAGGTTTTGTATTTCTGTAGAACTTACTCAATGTCACAGAAAATGGCAGCTTCAAGGTCCAAGAAATCTCCTTCGACATTCCTGTTGTAAAGGTCTGCTGAACTCCTGTAAAGGATTAAAAAAAATATTATTCACAGAAAAACATAAAGCAAGGAGGTTCTATAGCATCCTTGCATAATGCTAAAGCAGTCATTACCTATTAAGGTCATCACCTATGCAGCACTGCAACAGTTTGCATTTTTGCCAAGCAATCTGAGTCACCCCTACTCATATCTATAAGTGTGTTGGGTTCTTTATATGTGTGCCTCCCCCCAAATACATAGTACCAATGGGTTGACGTCTGCTCCAAAGACATATACTAAGACAATGTATACCTGAAAGCCATGTAGTAATAAATAGCACTATACAGGGAGAACAAAGAGAATTTAGGACATGTCCATTGGGTATTAATGTACACTGTAAACATCGCAGATATTCAGATCATTAAGCCTGCCAACCATATAGAGGCTTCTTTTCTGCTCGTTTTGCATGACTGGTAAACTGCCTTAAGGCGTAACACGCCAGTTTGGTACAGTAACTTTCCATCATGCCAGAATAACATCATTTACATAATCCTAAAACAGCCCATGCGTGTGGTACTAACATTAACAATTAAGTGCAATGTTTCTGTAAAATCCTTAAGGATACCAACATATTTTTTTTCGTCTCACGTCGAAAACTTGACATCATATTTTTTAACCCGTGCTGAGCTACATCCGTGAACCCCCCCCCTCCAGCACCCCCATAGTTATGCCCTCCCGGGTGGCAAACGCAACAACCCCCACTCCCTATGCCCCTCCCCAACAACAACAAAATGCTATTATGAACATGATTCTCAATGGAGGGTATTTGTCTTTGTATGTTGCACCAGTACAAAAAAACAAAACAAAACACTAGACTCGAGCTCCTTTTCAAATGCCATGTATAATTCAAAAACATAATACACTTACATTCCTAGTCCTAATTCGTCTGCTACCATGACATCTTCCACCGCCAGATGTCGGCAAGTTTCGTGGTGCTGTTGTTGTCCCTTAAATCTGGGCATGTCACTGATAGTCAGGAGTCAGTTCAACGTCGTCTGTTCGGTTATCAAACCTTCCGTTGACCGGAGAGTATAACGCTACATCTTACGACCGTCAGACTGGAGTCCAAACAAAAACAACAACAGGTCATTCATGATTAGCTGACATCAAACTCGTTCCCGTCGTCTCGAGTACGGAGCCCCGGGTACGATGATCACGTGACTTTTAATGATATTCTGGCAACTGTAGTGAGTCTGGATCTGGATGCTTTAATCTCCAAGCAGATGTCGGGCTTGGCTCAGTGTTGTACGCCCATTTGAAGGATTACTACGACAATCCGGTGGCCCGTGCCTTTCTCTGTTCGTGGACGATTAGAAAGACGCATAAATGGCCTCATATAAACGCATAAAACACAAGGCCAGGCGGTACATCTGCTTGGAGATTTTATGCCTCAGGAGAAACTCTAGCTTACCGGTCTTACCAGGTAATTTCATTGTCCCTATAACCCGGTGTTCCCCAAAACTGTGCTACATTCAGTTTCGGACGCCGCCAATTCACAAGCCGTGTATAGGGGATATGCCTTTGGATGTTTTAAACCTAGATTATAAACAATATTTTATTATTTATCATACATTAAAAGTGTATCTTGTGCTTGCGATTTTCTCACCATCGAATAGACTAATCAAAGATGTCTCTTGAATTTAAATTAGGTCAGAGGGACGTAAAACATATCGCAGGCTACATGCAGGCAATGAAAGCCTTTGACAGGAGCTGGAATATCAGCAAGCATATATGTGCACTCTGTTTGAGTTCGTTGTGCATTGGGATTGCTGATGGGGTAGGTCGGCTTTTCTGACAGACTATTACCCCTATAGAGCACTGAACTAGAAAAGCTGGCCGATCAGAACACGTTTAATATTACTATTTACCTAGAAATCTGCTTGAATGTGGTCTTTACATCTCTTGTCCTGAGTTATCAAGTAACGCCTCGCTTGTATGTACAGCGCTTTGGGGAGCAAAACGACCAGCCATATGCATGTGTAGCCTCTATGATTATGAGGCGCTCTTAGAATATTGTGTTTTCTACTTTGGCTTGTAAACTTTTCCTGTAACTGAGACAAGTCCATGTGAACTTATTGTTTGCTAGTTCAAGGCCGTGCGACCAGTTTTCCTCCCCCATCTAAAGGGTCCCGTCAGTCTTAACGACAGCAAATTGAGATCATTCTTTGGACCGTCGTTGAGGGATAGTAGCCTCTACCAGGCTTGGGGAGGCGGCTGAAAAAAGTAGAAATCGGCCAAATAGAGAGATAAGCATGCCAAGGGAGTTTGTCCGTTGAGAGAACATTTCGACGCACCCCTATTTGGCTGATTTCTACTCTTTCCAGCCGCCTCCCCGAGACTGGTACAGGCTAGGATAGAGGGGCGCCGAACAATTCAAGTCAGTTTTGTTGTTGTGGCGGAAGATGCAGTCATGACCGAAAAAAGTTTCCGACGAATGTGAGACTGACCGCACCTCGATACATGAACCTAGCACGCGGGGGGAGCGCACGGCGTATATGTTTATTGTAATTTTTCACAAAGTAAAACAGGTGCATACTCACCTGTTTAGGTTGCCCTTCCCCGTGCGTACTCACGACGTCCTCCGACCTTCAAATTCTCAGTCATCTGGTCTTCTTCTAGTATATGTGTCATCTTAACAAACATAAAAAAAAGGATACTTTCTGAAGAGAAACCGACATGCGGACCCAAAATCCTGATCTTCCCCTCCCCCACTCGTAGCCCCCCCCTGATCTTCCCCCCATTCGTAGACCTCCCTCGATCTTAATTCCCCCACACGTAGCCCTCCCTGATCTTCCCCCCACCTCGTAGCCCTCCCTGATCTTCCCGCTACTCGTAGAGTAGGGAGGTCTACGAGTGGGGTGTGGGGAAGAGTAGGGAGGTGTACGAGTGGGGTGTGGGGAAGAGTAGGGAGGTGTACGAGTGGGGTGTGGGGAAGAGTAGGGAGGTGTACGAGTGGGGTGTGGGGAAGAGTAGGGAGGTCTACCAGTGGGGTGTGGGGAAGAGTAGGGAATCTCATAAGGTTCTATTTAAAACCTCTTCACTAAGCATGAAAAGTAACTAACTAGTCAATTAACACCTGCAGTTCCACTCTGCTCAGTTAGAGGGACCAAAATCAATGCCCAAAGCCAGTGACTATATTACATGTGCTTATAAAGTATCATAACAATTTCATGATTTCAAGACCTGTTTAGATCCCATTTATATAGTTCAGAAAAGTATTGTACTCGTAAAAACGCTTTAATTGGAATTAATGGGATAGTTGCATTTTATTTTCAGGCCATTTTTTTCATTTCACAAGGAATTGTTTCATTATATGAATAACCATGGAAATGTTCTTCACATACCACAATCCATACACACACAAATATAATTTCATCACTTTGGGACCTTCTTCCCATCATTTTATTGACCTGTACATGCAACATATAGATAGTAACTCGTATGTACAAAAGGTGTAGTTTGTTAGTCCACTTTGCATGATGCCAGTATCCATTTCTTTACTGAAGCAATTTCCACATTTGACACAAATGGAGCTATACTATCTCTCAACAATTATTTTTGCTTTGAATAAAAGCCTTAACAGCACATTCGAGAAGTAATGACTTGCAATTGTAAAATCAGTCCTACTTTCATTACAAAAGTCAATAGTAGTATTTTGCTATTATTGTTAACATTGTATCTTATTATTGTACCCATGATACTCAATGTTTCCAGTGAGCTACAATGTGACAAGGGATGGAAAAGCTACATTTGGACCTTGTTTGGTTGTGGATACTGTGGATTTTCTATCACTCCTTTTCCAAACTTGAGCTCTAGAAACCCTTTCACATCATTTGGAGCTGACACCTGCATTTCCAAAAACTTCACAGTTTTTAGTGGCACGAGGAAGTGTTCGGGAAAGTCTATGTCTTGTCTGTGTGACTGTGTCCAAAGTCCTCTGGTCATAACTCCATTCTGAGGGTGGAACGGCCAAATGTCTACATGTAGGTGGTTCTGAGCGCTGTACTGTATCCGATAGAATTCCCCCTCTGTGGCTCTTTCCCAAACAAATCCCTCACTGTCTGTGTAGGACCCCTGATGCAACATATCAGATGGCAGGCATTTATCAATGTCATCCCTGTAAATTCCAAGGTCAATGTCATAGTCCCATGGGATGATGTCATTATGGCGGGCTGCCCCCAATAAGCTCCCTCCTTCCAACCAATACCGAGCTCCGCATTTTTGTAAGACACGGAAGACGTGCCTTGCCGTCTCCCGAAGAGCCCGGAGACAACATGGCGGTGTCCACCGGTTCTCGTATAAGTACTCCGGCATATCGTCCACAACTGTCCCGAAACACCTGGCGGTTTCCTTCCTACAGCCGTACCACTCTACATTCCCATTACTCCAGCTCACCTTCTTAATACCAAACTCCTCGTACATGGCTTTCAATCTGCTGTCATGTCTGGTTTGATGTTTCCATTGGTTGTGAGGGTCTGTGAATAGCTTTTTAGCTGGAATGGTACTAGCTGGCACTTGTACAAGCTTCCACCCTCGCAAGGCGGTCTGAATGAAGAGACTTTGAGGGAAAGGTCTGTGGTAGGGCCGACTTAGGGAATGAAAATCAGCTGTCCTCATCAAAATGATGTGACTTCCATCCAACCCGTTACAGGTATCTTGTGCGGCACCTCCCTGCATGTACGTTAACGTCCACTGTTTCAAGTTCACATCCATGTCAAAGCATTGCGACGTCATCTCTCCGCCGACTTTCGCTGCGACCATACGAACATCTCCACGCCGAGAGTGAAATGCACTCAGGACTTTCTCCACCTGCTTAGGCGAGGTTATAATCGTTCCATCTGGCACCAAGAGAACAAACTCTGTATCCACAAATCGCTCCGGACAAGAGACATTTGGATGTCTGTCCAGTGAAGTCTTCATGGACACAACTTTCACATCACCGTCTTCTGGAAGGGTCAAGGGTGGGTATGGGGCTTTGTCCACAGCAATGACGATGCGTATATATTCATCCAGATGTAAAATCGACTTGACTGTTTCTGCAACTTGGTTTTCAAAGTCTTCAAACTCTCTGATGACCACAGTCACTCTCTCAGAGATTGAACTTGACATGGCACGCTCCATGACCTTGACTGGACCCTGTTTCCTGGACTTGACGTCGACTATGGCGTCTTCCTGGTTCACATTCTCCAGTCTGAGCTGTAGAACCACCAGACAACACAAGATGAAGGCGTTGAACAGAACCGCGACAATCAGGATGCACTGACATCTGGACAGGCGCATCTTGTCCAGTCTTGCTACAGACCCAGGTTCCCCCTCATCTCACGTCGACGGACGTCGGTCGAGCGCCTCTGAAAAATGTACCTTCAGGAGTCATCGGTTGCATGTCTTCCTTCGATGCAATAGAAGCTTAAGGAGAGTAATAAAACGTCAAGAAACGCCGGCCTCACTAGAAGGCCGTGGCGTCGCCCTCTCAAGTTCAAATCCCAGTCAGCTGGTCTTTCCGTACACAGCGGGACTTGTACTACCAGCATCCCTTGCGATAGTGTGTTTGGACTGCTCCATTGGCCAGTAGGGGGTTCTCTCTGATGATGAAAAAGAAGATCATATAAAACATCATACTGTATAATACAGCAAGCGATAAACAAGCTTAAAAAATTATCAACAGTTGAATACATTACTGAGAGCTTTGAATCACCGTCGGTCAAGAACTCAGTTGTAAGCTTGAAAAATGCTGTTACAGTGTTATGCTGTTTGTTGTCGACTCTACCGTGGCTAATCTCCAAGCAGATGTTAGATGGAAGATCGTAACGTCCTCTGACTGGTAGGGTTTTCTTGCAGAGGGTATTCTCCAACAGTACCAACCGATTTATATTCGCCGAGTATCTGCAGTTGCCGGGGTGGGTTCTGTCAAAGACGCACGGCGGTCGGGAAAGCCCGGCAGACTGGAATGTTACAACATTCCACCCCCAACATCTGCTTGGAGGTTTTCATAACAGTCCCATCAGGCAGTGCGCACTGGGCGCCAAACACAAGCTGATAAAAATGGCGGAAGTCAAATCGGGAGAGTCTCCTTCTCCGGGAGATGAATCTGTTCCTGTGTCTTCTACTCAAGAAGGGACAGAAGTCGGTGTATCCAAAGGCGTAGAAGAAGAAGAAGAAGGAGCCATGCAAGTGGAGGAAGATGGTACAGTACCGGAGGAAAAGGTTAGTTTTCCAATCCCTGACTGTTGGTTCTGTTGGTTCAAAATTATATAATTTTTGTGACCGGACGATATAAAAGTTTGGACGTGGTCGCGAGATCGACTTACTACACGACTTGTTATATGAATGCTTAAAGGCCTAAACATGGACCTATATTATAAAATTATACCAACAGTCACAGGAGGCAAAATCCAACACAGATAGTGGGTACCCTATGGACAGCAGTGCTATGGAAGATGCTACAGCTACAGCAGACTCTTCCCTGGGACCTGGGACCAACGAAACACATAACAGTGCTGAAGGGGTCTACATGCAACATCTCCTAGATGTTCTCTCCAAAACAGTGAAGAAGTGTGTCCATGCAGGAAGGTAATGGTATTATTATCATTATTATTATTACTATAATTTAAGCAGTACCAGCTAATTTGTAACACATTTTTTGTGTGTAGTTTTGGAAAAGTTTTTTTTTCAAATACCTGCTGTTCCTGTCATATTGCCTTTATGTAATAATTCTTAGCCTACTGTAACAATTCCTTGTACATGGCTTTATGAATCTTTCTAAATGTACTTTAACAGTCTATGATAATTTAAATTACTGCACAAAAGTGCAGTAATAGCCGGTATAACCGCCCTTTGGCGTAGCACACCAGCTTCTGTATCTGTATAGCCGGTATAACCGCCCTACAAGTAAATTACTGCACAAAAGTTGTTTTTTCAGAATCCTTGAAGTTCTTTTGTTCCAGATTTAGCACATTTGCCAGGAACTACAAGTTTGCCTACCAGAACAACCCCAAAGCCTTGCAGAGCATCGCACAACAGCATGTCCAGCATCTGCAAGACAATGTCCAGGTATGTATGCCTGTTCTGACATTAAGTATTGCTGTGTGTTAAGTGCCCTGTTGGTCAAGTAGATATAGAATACAATAAGGTGTATTCCGTTATTCCGTATCACCCAAGGTTCCTGCCCGACTGGGGGTCTGATCGCCCGAAGTCCAGAGGGAGAACCAACCTGTGGGAGGACTGGGACAAATTTTATTTATGTCATAGGTAAATGTTAGCCAAATGTACATTACCCAAATTGTACAAAATGTGTCATTACTATACAAATACAGTAACACTATAAATGAAGAATGGTACACGACATGTATACTAATATGTTAAAACTGTAGTACACTACTTTTTATTGCAGGCTGAAATCCAGCTGCTCCTGTCTGAAGAAGAGATTCCAGTATTGTTTAATAAATTAGAAACTATTCTGAATGACGCTGCAACAGAAGAGAACACTACTACATGGTAAGGGCATGTGTTTTGTATGAACAAGTACCATATAGAGAATCCTGAACTACAGTAGGAATACTAAGGATGATCAGTACCTTAATGGAGAAGGTTTTAGTGTGTGTTTATGAACAGCATGACCCCAGAAGCTCTCGGTCTCACCAAATGATGGTCAAGTTTCATTACTGGCCCCTAGCAGATTTCTAAGGTACTGCAATAGAACCTCCTGTTTATGCATAATTTGTTCTGAATGTGCTATAATCCTAAATTTTGGGGTGCTTGATACCGTAGATAGCTTTTTGGCTCACAAGTGATGTATGTTTGGGCCCCCATTGCAACTTATTTTGGAAATGAGGGATGTTTTTGTTTTGGAGACTTTAAAACTCTAGAATAGATTTTGTCAAGAATGTAGTGTTGACTCTTTTCTGTACCAGGCGCCCCTCTGGAGATCCGGAAAAAGACCTGCGAAGCCACAGGATGGCCGTCAAACTGAAAGAGCGAGAAGAGCTGCAGAAAAGACTGGCGGCACAGGAGCAGGAGACGGCTCGTCTTCAGAAATCTGTGCTACAGTCCAGGCAGAAGTTGCTCCACACACAACAGAAGCTTCAGGACAAGATGGAGATGTTTGCAGAGGTAAGAACAACAGGAGCATATACTGTGAAGGAAGTCCTACTTTTCTACAAGCATTCTTGTGGCTATGTAACAAACTAAATTTGTAGAAAACTGTAACTGTTGAAGATGGCATATGAAGTTTTCTCTTGCCTTGGTGCCAGACCCTACTGTGAGTGAGTGATAGTCCCTACGACCAGAGAAGCCATATGCCCTGCTAACCCCAGGTTGGCTCTAATTATATGTCAACTTGTGAAAATTTGTATATGTACATGTGAACTCGCAATTCAGCTTATAAGCTGCGAGTTTGTTTCGAATAATAAATATATCTCCTTGCTGGCATGATAGATAAAGGGCTTGGGCGGCAACAACTTCTGGTAGCAGACAAGGGTTTCTTCCCCCCCCCCCCAAATCTATCGCTTATGATAGATTTTTATGCCAGCGTCTGGCACCCAGGCAAAGTTTTCTCAGCACTGGAATGTGTAGAATTGTAGAATATCTTCCCAGGACATTTTTATTTTGTAAGGAGATTAGGAGGCTTGTATCTTGCACCTGATAATTGATGTTGGCTAACAGTTTTGTGTATATCATGTGTTCTGTGTTCAGGCTGCTGCTGCTTGTGACACCTGCCCGATGGAACGTGTCTGTGAACTACAGCTGATGTGTCCAAAATAGAGTCAATAACGTCAAGAAAATTACATGTGCCTGTATCGAGCAACTTTAGCATATACATAGTATTTTCAAGTTATTCAATTTTCATATCATTTGTACTAAGGATAACAGTGTGGCCTCTTCTGTAATACAGCTGGCAAATGAACAACAAAAACAAGAAGAATAGTGGAAACTACCAAGTAACTTTTCTTCATCATAACAAAGAATTGAAAATCTTTGTAAACAATACCAGTGACAACCCTTGGAATGGACTAGAAGATACTCGTATATATTTCCTTTCCATTATACAGTATATTGGGGAGGGAAATAAAGATGATTCAGATAAATTGGTTTGTAAGTCTTATAAAAAATAGGGATCCTAATAATGTACAAAAAGTTGTTGATCTAAAATGCACAGTCATATTTATGTAACTATTGTCACTTATGAGTTGTGTGTTGTTCTTGACTTATGCCAGATAATAAAAAAAAAATGTGATTTTTGCATCATCCAGAAACATTTGTAAGAGTAACAGTAGGAAATTGTTGCCACCTCATAAAAAGCTGGTCACAAAAAGTCAAATGGACATCATGGTGTTGTTGAAGAATTAACATAGATCAGAATTCCAACGCTGATGGACAAGGTATACACATGTAGTTATACTAGTTATACATTGTACATGTCAATGTATGTATGAAGACAACTCATTCTTTGACATATATGAATCGCAAGTACAGAAAGCAACCAGCAATCCGCAGACTGTAAAACTAGTGCTTGGTGACTTTAACTCCAAAAACAGTAACTGGCTACCTAGCAATGCGACCGACAACGCCGGATTCCTACTGGACAATATCTTCTTAAACCACGGACTCGAACAGCTGCTCCATGAGCCAACACGTGGCCAAAATCTACTGGACCTGATTGCCATATCACACCCTTCAATGTGTCACCAAAGTGGCACCTTGGCACCCCTAGGAGATTCCGACCACCAAACAACCATAACCACATTGAATCTCCAGGCCACCCGGCCCGCAGGGAAGAGGCTCGTCTGGCTCTACAAAAAAGCAAACCTTGACGCTCTGTGCAACGACCTTAGCCAAGCCCCTTGGGACACTAACTTCATCTTTGACTCGATGGACGATATCTGGAACTCATGGTACACCATGTTTATGAACATATGCCGACAACACATTCCACACAAACTACTCCCTGTCCACAGAACATCTAAGCCCTGGATTTATGGAAATAAAGAGCTCAAAGCAGCCATCCGAAGGAAACACCGGCTCCACTCCAGAGCCAAAAGCAAAAAGACAACAGAAGCCTGGTCTACCTATAGGAAACAGAGAAATCTGGTCACTAAGCTCACCAGAAATGCTGAGGCGACATACATCCGTGAGGTGATTGAAGATGTAGAGGGTGGTAATACAAGGCGCCTCTTTTCTTTCGCCAAGTCTGCCTTAGGCAAAGCCTCTACCGGCATCCCGGCTCTGCAAGCCGGGGCCGACATCATAGAAACACCTCAGGACAAAGCAAATGCCCTCAACAACTTCTTCATCCAACAGACCGACCTTGACGACAGAAACGACCCCGCTCCCACTTTCCAGCCCAGCATTACCCCTGAAACATCCCTAGACAGAATCCAACTGACTGAAGATGAGGTACGGCAGCAACTCAAAACCCTAAAGACCGGAAAATCATGTGGCCCGGATGAAATCACTCCATACCTCCTAAGACAGGTAGCAGACACCATATCTGCACCCCTGACACGGCTCTTTAACACATCACTTACCCTCGGACAAGTCCCTTCTGGTTGGAAAGAGGCCAATGTAACGCCTATCTACAAGGCCGGAGACCGTCACCATGCAAATAACTACAGACCAATTTCTCTGCTCAATACAGTCCCAAAAGTGCTGGAAACACTAGTAAATAAATACCTAATGCAACAAATCACTCCAATACTGTCCAAGCACCAGAGCGGATTCAGGACCAAGGACAACACCACGCTTCAACTAGCCCGCCTGGTAGATGAATGGACCAGGGCAATGGACAGAGGGGAAGTCGTGGGGTGTGTTTTCCTCGACCTGAGGAAAGCATTTGACAAGGTCTGGCACAAAGGTCTCCTTGCCAAACTATGTGCCCACGGAATACGCGGACCTATCCTCCAATGGTTCCACAGTTATCTGTCCGAAAGGCGACAACGTGTGGTTATTCAGGGCGGAACATCTGAATGGAAATCGCCCCTTGCCGGCGTCCCCCAAGGGTCCGTTCTTGGGCCCACCCTGTTCATCCTGTATATCAACGACATAACATCCTGTTGTACTCAGTGTTCTCCAAACTTGTTCGCTGATGATACTTCACTGTCCACCAGTAACAGATCGATCCAACGTGTAGTCACCTCACTTAACAGAGACCTGTGCTCTGTATCAAACTGGCTCACACAGTGGAAACTCGAAGCAAACAGGGATAAGTGCAAGGTGATGTACATCACAACTCGCAACATCCCAAGGCCCCTTGTACCAGTCACTCTGGGTGGAACTACCCTGGAAGTTGTTGCTAGTTACAAACATCTAGGTGTCACCTTAACGAACACACTCTCCTGGTCCAAGCACATCGATACAATTTCCACCAAGTCAAGACGATCTGCTGGCCTACTGTGTGCACTAAGAAAGAAGGTGCCAAGTGACATTCTACTCAGGCTATATAAGACCGTTACACGACCTGGCCTTGAGTATGCCAACATCGTCTGGGCAGGACTCACCAAGAGCGACGAACGGAAACTGGAGTCTGTACAATACCAAACTGTCAGACTGATCAGTGGACAACATGGACTTCCTTATCCCTCCTACCAAACCTTGTACACCCAACTGTCCCTTCCGTCACTTCAGTTCAGACGGAGATTCCATACAGTCACCACCCTGTACAAGCTCCTTAACGGCCACTGTCCGCCACACCTCCAAACCCTGATACCCAGAACCCGTGCATCTGCTACTGAGTCTCGCTATCCCCTCAGGAACAGCAACCACCTGACTGTTGAACTTACCAAAACCACCAGAGGCCAGAGAACATTCTTTCACCGAGCAACGTCACTCTGGAACACTCTCTCCACTGACGCTCGCACTGCCACCACTATTGCCTCCTTTAAAAGGAAGCTATGGGACTCTCTAGGCAACCCCTATAAGCCTTAGGTGTATGACCCTGACCTCTCCACATTAATGTAAATAATTGTATTGTTGTATTGTGCATGTAAATGTTTGTCCTGTCAGCAGGGCAAGCCCTTAATAATAGCCTCCTGGCTAGTTGGGCTGCCCTGGCTGTAAAATTTGTCTTTTTAACAGCCGAACGAATAAACAAATTAAACAAGACACATTTTGAGACTTGGGGTAAACATAGACTTCTTCATTACACCATAAAAAAGACATGATAATAAACTGGATGAAAATGCTTTTTTGTAAAATAATCTTCAATCAGGTGTTTTATCAGTATTTTGTAGGCCTTTTCTAATCTCTGCCAGACTCCTTTGCAGGCTGAATAAATAGTCGAAATCGGCCTAAAGGGGGCACACCCCAGTTTATTTTGGGTCTCAATTCAATACTATTCTGCATACCCTTAACTCTAGCGACCGTCTCTTTCGGCAAATTATTCTGAAGCAAAAACACTGTATGGAAATGAAGGATATCTCTCTACAAGAACAATAGAATTCGTATTTCTTTAATCTCTCAAATTCTAGGGAGGAAACAGATTTTCCGATGCAAAATGATGCCAAAAATTGGCCTTTTCATGTGGAATTACCGGTAAAACAATCAGTGCCGTCACCCACAATTTTGCCAACAAAGTGACTGATATTGTCAGAAAGAGAATCAGAAAAAGTATTAAGAAAATCCTAACGCTGAGATTTTCACAATAGCCTGTTGGCTTCAACTGAATTTCAAATATTTTGCCCAAACTGTCTACAAAAAAAAACAACATTCAATTTAATAGAATGATCCATTCGGGATGCCCATTCATTTACTGTTTTGTTATTGATTTTATTCTTTGTCTGTGACTGCTAAAATTAGCAATATGCTAGACCACCACTCTGTATGTTGTTTAATGATAAAAAATTATTTTAAGCTTGAATAAGGTTTTGTTTTTCTAAGGCCTTCTATTTCTAATACAGTGTATTTGAAATAAAGACGGGTAATGCTATCTATTTACTAGGCATAAGCTGGAGGGAGGAAGATCAGTTCAGTTCAGTAAGGAAATGCGGAATATCTATTCTTTATTATGGCCTCCAAGCTGTATCTACCGATCGCGACATCGTCGGCGATACGGCATCATTCCAAGTCGACATTTATGCAATGAAAGGTCGTTGGAGTAACGGCATGTTGTGTCTGCTGTGCTGACTTGGATCATCAGGTTTGTCAACTTTAACCTTTGATCCAGGGTCAAACAGGATGACCGGCGTTTGGTCTCCGCCATTTTAGACAACTTCGGGAGATTATCATATCTCTCCTTCCCGAATTTTAGCGCAATTCACGTCATATCCAGTACCTGATACTACAGACTAACAGGTAAGGACTTCTTAAAATCATTTCACTGTTATTGTATAACGTTATGTATAGTGTTAAATTGTGCTCACGATAGCTGGATAAAATGACGCGACGGCGTTTTGACAAAGCCTTGGATTCCAGTTGGATAATCAACATACGTGCGTGATCTGTCAAGCTGCTGTATCCAAGTGACCAGATTCTGTAATCTCCAAAAACAGATTCATTCAGGGGCAAGGCAGTATCAAATTGGGAGTTACCATTAGCATGATTAGCCTGGCCAATTTGATACAGAGTCAGTAGCTTCCCTTGTCCCTGAAATTATGAATCTGCTTGGAGATTACAGAGTCTTGTCTCAACTAGTAATATTGTACTTGACAAATGTTCAGCAACTTCCATCAAAATTGGATAATGATAAAATCATGTGCTGAACCATGGCAGTTGTAAATCCCCTATCATTATCGGTCATCATCATTATTTTTAGTAATTTAATATTTCATCATTATTTAATATTTATAACATATAATTCTCAGTGATGTCATCAAAACATGAAAATTCTTCTATATTTCGTGCATTCTACTGACGTTACTAGTAATATATCCTTCACTAGTATCTACTACATGTACTAGTATCCATCCTTCAATAGCTCTGTCATGGTGAAAAACTTTGCCAGCTATTGTCTAATATATCTTATATCAAAGAGGTTTTCTCGTATGGATATCCTAATCAATAGGGATGGAAGATCCTGGCTGTGTGTTTCCTGTTGGACCCCCTATCAGACATCCTGTGGATGGAGCAAGTGACAGGACCAGACAAGAACAGGCAATGGGAACACAGCAGGAAGAGGAAACAAGCAGTGTGGCCTCCGTCCCACCTGACAAGGAAGCCTGGTCACATTTGTATGTACGGGCTCCTACAGAACAGCTACATCAGGTGGCAACAAATAATACTGCGGACGCACCCTACGTCTGTCAACAGTGTGGGTACAGGGCATTCAGAAACTCTCGGCTTTCCGAACACATGAGGAAACATACTTGCGAGAAACCTTACAAGTGTGACAGGTGTGAATTTTGCACACACTGGAAAAAGAACCTTGTGCAACACATGGCGAGGCATAATGGTGAGAAGCCCTACATGTGCGGGGAGTGTGGGTACAGGACGGTCGACGGGTCAAGCCTACGCCGACACATGAGGAAACATACAGGAGAAAAACCCTACATGTGTGGGGAGTGCGGATTTATGACGTCGGACAGTTCTAGCTTAGCTGCACATGCTAAACAGCATACTGGTGAAAAACCTTTCAAGTGTCTCCAGTGTGACTATTCTGCATTACTGAAAAGCCATTTAGATCGACACATGCTTAAACACACCGGGGAGAAACCCTACATGTGTGGGGAGTGCGGGTACAGGACTAGTGACAGATCTAGCCTGGCCAGGCACATGAAGAGACATACAGGTGAACAGCCTCACAAATGTAACCTGTGTGATTATTCTGCCATACAGAAATGTAATCTAGACAAACACATGGTAAAACACACTGATGGAAAATCATTTTGTGAATGGCCAAATGACCAACCTTTCATGAGATAGAGGAAAACACCAATGTTAACATATTGATAGAATGTGCCCAGTGTGATAATCCTGTTGTACTGGGGACCTTTAAATATCCAGTATCGCAAAAGATCAGAAGATAAGACAAGAAGAAAGAGTACATGAATGTGAATACGGGACAGCATACACTTGACCACATATTTTAGAAGAAACGGGACAGCTATTGCTGTTAAGCAAGTGCAATACAAGAAATTAAACAATATATCACTACAAGCTTGCTGATGTGATTTTGACATTGATTGAGTGTCTTTGTATTTATCTCCAGCACGATCAACTATTTAGGCAAATTTAGGCAAAACCTGTAGATACCAAAATGACAAGAACAATATAATGTATGATATCACTGCAGTAATAGGTGCAGCAATTCAGGCGCTGCGGCAATTCAAGGCACCTGGTGTGGAACGAGCTCGAGATATGTTGAATTCGCCATGGATCAAAAACATCTCGTAGCGTCAAAATCACTGAAATAAATACAAGTAATAGGAGCAAGTTAGCCAACATTTAAGAAATTACCATTTCTTTCGCTATCGTACTCGGGGAAACACGCAGCAAATCTGACACGGAGAAAAAGCGCCCCGTGGCGGCGAAAAGAAATCACTGCAGTGGTTGGAGCTTCTGGCCAACATTATGGTGCAGTGCTCCATTGAACTGCTAGAGGCCGCTTTTGATGTATGCACTTCACTATTTCAAGGTAGCAGAATACAGTATTAATGGGCGACCCCCGGGCACGATGACGCGGGTATAGAAAGTAGTGCAGCGAATATTCTTGAAGGCTGGGTAGACAGCCTGATAAGAGCGTCAGCCAGATGTAAATTGTGCTGTGTGGTGTAGGAATGTATCGGGTTTGAGACTGTGTGATTTGAATTGTGAAGGTTTTGCAGTTCGTGTATAAATGCGCCGTATTGCGCAACTGGCTTTCCGGGTGAGTCGGCTGCAGTTCTGGTCACGTCCGTAGGGGGTGATTTCAAAGTGTACGTTACGAGCAGATACGCCGACAGGATTTTTTGGTTTCTACATATTTTGTAGTTTGTACCTTCCGTCTCAAACATATTCGATTTTCGTATTTGTGAAGTGCACCCTGCTATAATTTTTACCGCGTCGAAGTGAGTCATCTTGGGGTCCTTAACTATAGAAATCCCCATAGGGCGAAAACTGTGTTCTGCTACCTTCAAAGAAGAAATCAGACATGGTACCGTCCCTTCAACAGGTGTTCGTGCACGCTGTCGTGCCGCACGGTGCGAGGGTTTAGGACAAAGGGGACAACAAGGGGAATCAAAACAACACCCTGTAGGGGTGGAGAAGGAATTCGGAGCCGCTGACCCTGCCATGGGAGGATGTGGTGTCCCTGTTTTGATTCCAATGATACCATGGTGTCCCATCCTCCCATGGCACTGGCTCAGCGGCTCCGAATTCCTTCTCCACCCCTGTAGGGGCTCCGAATTCCTTCTCCACCCCTGTAGGGGGAGAATTTTACCCAACATTTTGGGTAAAATTCTGGCTTCTGGCTAGCAAAATACCAAGTCTTTGGAATGTTTTTGTCGTGGATTTAAGCCGTTCTTTGGACGTTTGAGTGAGAAATTGTGGATTTCCTGACCAAGTGAATTATGGGAAAGGAAATGGCGACTGTTACGTCGAGAGGAACCGGACGGCGTGGTGTTGGAAAGACCCGTTTTTATAAGGTAAGGCAACCGACAATCTCGTTAAATGTATGGTCAACAAACCCGTAACTACAAATGACGCATATTCTGTGCAAACTTCTGTGTTTTTTGCACAATTATTTTGTTTGTTTTAAGCTGGTTTGTATTTGGGCAACCGATTTTTGGACCAGCGTTTTACTTCTTTCATTTGATTCGTCCAACACAATTAGCAGTTCAAGCAATGACAACATGGCAATTAGTGGTTCGACCAATGAGAGAGCTTTAAAGTTTTTGTTTTGCATTTCTACATTTTGATGGGCGTGGGCGGGGCTATGGGGTCGGACGGGATTTCAGAGAGAGCGGTCAGTGACTGGCGGCGTCGACCCTGCTTCACCTATAACAAGAGTACTAAACTTGTTATTTGAACTATTTGTTTGAACAAAGTACGCCACAACCCAAACTGCCCTACACTCTGTGCACTTTTAACAAACGCATGAATTCATACGCGAATCGACACCAGTTTAAACTTAAACTTTGTCGCCAGTATTTCATTTGTCAGACTTATAACTTTTAATATAAGATTTTTTCATAACATCTGTTTTTCTATTTTCAAGCGCACAAATACTTGACTGTACTTTCAAATACTGTCACTAGAGTCCGAAATGGCATCACTTGCCTGTCGGAGTAAAAGAGAAAAGTTTACCCCAATCTCTGTAGTACCAATGGAAGCCGTCGTGGGGCGTTACTAATTAGATGTTGTCCTTTCTTACTCTGACCAAGTTCTCAAATACCATAAATCATTAAAACACAACTTAACAATTTATCAATTTTTTTCTCAACTATATACGGATAAACAGCACATGTAGCATGGTCCTGAGAAACCTGAGCCCAATGTTTTTTTACTACTTCATGATGTCGGACCACGTGTATTCTTAATTGTTTAGAAACAACGATCCTCTTGGCCTCGAAGGAATAACGGTCATTACATGCTGGTACAGAATGCCAATGGGTATTTGAAGGCAGCATGGCTAGTATAACCCTGCCAAGTGATTGTGATAATAAGTATATCTGACTTGGACAAGTCCACCATCAATACCAAATATCTCAATTGAGTCACTTTCTACGTATACCCACCCCTTCCTATCGATAAAGCTCTCATGCCACCCACTCACTCAGACCATTACTAATCTACCCTCACACCAACATCCAATCAAACTGTCCATCCAATCAAACTGTCCATCAAAACAAGACCGACCGAACGAATCTGTCCTTTGGTGGTAAAGTCTGGCGATTCCTGACTCCCACACTGTCAAACATAGGAGAACTTTTCCACCATCAACTGTTGGACTTTGGAACAATCTTCAGGAGACAATTGCTATGTATGATAAGGGACAGACAGAAGTTTGAGTAGATTCTTTCCTCAGTGCAAAAATCGTTCTGTCTCGGCAGTCCAGCTGCTAATACTAAGTGAGAGCTAACATTGATAAAAAAAATTGTTCAACCAATGTACTGTAAGCTTCGGTCTATCGCCCCTTTGGTTTGGGTTGGTTTTAAAAAGAAAACGTGAACCAGTTTCCCTCCACAACTATGCTGCGGACTAACGCACGGAAACACCGAGTCAGTCCTGTCGGTACGAAACGTTTGAGGACTGTCATTCCGAGACAGTTCAGCGACTGAGACAGAACACTTCCTTAACAAATTGCAGACACGAGGTCGATCAGCTTGAGCGTGTGCTCACCAATCAGCGGACACTTCGCCACATTCTTCACACGTTCAACTCCTCGCCTTGAGCAATGCCAGACCCCCAAGTACACCCTTAACTCCAGCGGTCAAGTGCGCTCCGGGCGTCTAGCTGAATTGAGTACGTGGGTGACGGGATACTAACAGAAGCTGGGCCCCACCGCTCTAACATACGTTTCCATTGCTGAGCCGTTTTCTGTCTGTGGGTGTAGTTGTTACTCCACTAAGTTATCCATTAACAAGAAAGGCATACATGTACTACGTCGTTGTACTTAATCATAATATCTACATCTAGTTTTCTCGTGTGTTTATTATCAAAGACGACCTACGATTTAGAAACTATACAAACAGGCCTGAGGCATAAACTGTCTACATTTGATTGCAGAGTGTTTCCATGCTGTGACGTCAGTGGTGCTGAGAGAGTAATGTCTGCTCCATAACATCGGCCGTTGAATAGATTATATGATTTATGTACAATTTACTACACGTATCGTCGCCAGCTTCAACTAAGTTAACAGATATCGATGTCACTTCATAACATATATGGGATTTAAAGACATGCTGTAATATCTGATGTAACAAAGTGCCGACAGAGAGATTGTTGTAGACCCCACTTTATGAAATACATGTACGACTGTAACTGTGACACACTATGACTGTGACACACGTAAACATGCATCTTTATATTGTTGTTACCGTTGTTGTTAATTGCTACCGTTATTGTTTTACTATACATGTACAGGTACAGGCACGTAATTATAACATCGTATGTGGGTACAGGGTAATTTATTAGTTGCACAGCTCACTTGCTAACCGTACTGTTGGGGTCAGCGATGTGAGGCATAAACGTTTTGTGAACATTGCAAAATTGGTATTTGGGTGCCAAGAATAAAGTTTGTTTCGTACGAACGTATCATACTATACCTTACATCATTACTATGCAGGAGACGCACGCCATGTTCGCAACATTGTTTACGATTAGTAGAGTAGCTACATGATATGATTCGGTCATGACAACCCTCACATCGGTTCCATCGCACGACAAAAGGATGCCTTCTACAGCCTTTCACAGAGAAGAGATGTGAAGACTTTTCTGTGCCAAGGAACGGTTAAGTACGAGCCACCAGTGTTCTCGGTCTGTGAAAAGCAATCTGACTTACTAGTCTTTGTTTTGATGACCATTTGGATTAGCTGGTAGTACAGAGCGATTCTGTTACAGTTGCAGTACTCGTAGTTGCTTTGGTTCTAAGATTGGGTCATCCTTGTTGTCCTTCACACGATAATGTTACAATCTCCCACCGGTTAGACCCCAGAAACACGACCCGATGACGGGGAACGCGATCCCGAGGAATGGCGGGAGTTTGTGCCAGGTCTGCGCAGAGGTAATCCTGGATCTCCGCCGACTATCGCCTGCCGTCCTGGAGAGTGTTAGATGTTTCAGGGCGGAGAACCTTTTGCCAACCGTCGCATCACGAGTACGGTATCGGGAAGCAACAGGTTTGCTAATTGTCTTTTGTTTGTGTAAAATGAACTGACAAGGTTCCCAAAGAAAAGCAAGGTACAAATGGACCAGATTCCTGAATGGTTCAACGTTACTTCACTTGTAAGCCGATGAATTTAACCAACCACAGTCTCCATACCTACCATAGCAGCATACCCACGACTTTCACTAATATGATAATAGTTACCTTTCTCGGAACGAGCAAACTTAATCAGAAATTTAAAACGTTCATATCAGATTTCACAAAACAATATGCAACAACCAAAATCATCTGCGTACCCACCACTGAAGCAAGGCTGTTGAAAAGACATTTAAAAAGGTCCTGTGTTTTTACAGTAACAATATGATTTACTCGTATCTTTCACCATAAACACTGCATTGCATGACAGATACATTTCAAGCCTGACAAAGCCAACAATGTGAACTTCGCAATCACAAATTTTACGTAACATCTTGTCGAGGAAACTGCTGTTGTTGATACGATATACGTCAATAAAGCACAATGCATTACTGCAAAATTATATGCATCTTTTAGACAAACCGTAAAAGCACAAACAATTATACACTTTGCAACATATACATTCAACGTATCACATCTGTTTTCAAATTTTAATTAAAATTATGGCCCAGTACATTGAGATCGTTTTGTGATCTTCAAAGGATCTCCAAAGTTACACTGTAATATTTTTGTCACTGCTATACCTATCAAGCAATCAAAAAACTCGATTGAATTGTGGGCATCGGGTATTTCCAATGGTGCATAGCCAACATTCTGTACAAGTTATTTTGCAAGATCTTGGAACTAAAACTTAAAATATGTGCATATTTGGTATACTTCCACCGGTCACTTGCATAAATGTTTCTTCGTGTAGTGCCACAGAAAAATCCAGAGAACCTTGCTCTCAACGTCACATTGTCCGTTAACATTTCAAGTCTTGTACTAGCTCGTGTTCATGAAATGGTGACGTGTGCACACAAGCTGCTACCTCAGTGTCTCAGTTCTGGTGGAACCGGTGGATGCCGGTCTCTGGAGTTCCCGACTGTCCTGCATTTTGGAATTGATAGCAAACGGCCATGTCTGTAAGGCAAAGAAAAATGTTACTGTTATAAACTTCACACAGTTATGTATATCAGATTTAGAATAATCTAGAACCGGCATTGCGTTGATGAAGGTTAGACATCCAGGTAATAAGATGCGATTTAAAAAAACCAGTTACTCAAGAAACTGGATATGATTTTGGAAACGGTCAGACGTTTCAGGTAGTGAAGCTCCTTTTCGTCACTGGTGAGATCTCGAGATCAACAGCTATTTAAAATCGGTTACCGGTATCGTTACTTCTCCACCTCAATGCATTTGAGTTAGACAGAACAAAACTCAGATATTTCCTAGTGAAATTTCTTACGCTGTGTATATTGTGTTGATGAGACAAGAGTGAAACAAAGTGCTTGTTGGCCTGTCAGTCTGTTGCTATAGCACGAAACCCGTGGCCTTGTTTTTCAATATCGTGCTCCAACCGTTGTTCCCCTGACAATTTTTTGCAGAGGAGTGAAGGTTGAAGTGGTCCTAAGCTAAACAAGGCGAGGTCTAGAGTTAGTGTATATCTAGTACTGTTTAAATAGAGCATTTATAGCCTCAACAAATGAATGTAAAAATCATGAACCTGAAAATGGTCTCATTTACATCTAATCTTTGGATCAGTCGATGAAGGTAATGAGATACACAAGAAAATTGTTACTCAAGCAACAGGACAGTATTTTGAAAATTGTCAGACGTTTCAGGTAGCATCCGCTTCTTCAGTCACTGACGGAAAGTAGCGGAAAGTTATCAAATCTAACCAATTGCTTGAGTAACAATTTTCTTGTTTCTTTCAGTCACTGACGAAAGGTAGTGGATGCTACTGGAAACGTCTGACAGTTTTCAAAATCTAAAACAATTTTCTTCTGTAGTCTTTGGATCTTTGATGTAGTAGTATAGTACTTATGTGTTCCATCCACGGAGGGGAGCGGGCTCGAATGGCCATGCAAATCTGTTACTACTGTTATTCTGTAGTTGAAATATTCAGCTGTAGGTTACCGTGTTTGTGTTATGTCGATACGGCACTGCATAACAAACATATACTCTAGAGACCTTTCAGTTGTCCTTGAAAACAGATTGGCAAAACGGAGACTTGAAGAACATATATATTACGACATAACTCATTCCGGCCATGCCTAACTGGCAGTAAGAATTGAAAGCAGCTAATTAGGACCCTAAAAGATGCGGCTATCTCGGACCGGAGGACCCCGGCACGCGGACACGCCAGAACCCAACACTATTCTCAGCCACGATATTCCCTGGTCGGTCGTCAGAGGGTCTAATCTTAGAGACTGTCCCTGTGAACACATGCACCGCTATCACGCAACGGCACGTCAACACCGCATCACCAGTAACCGCAATCCCCTTACACTACCGAACTACTGCATTCAACAATTAAATATCAACTTCAAACGACGATCATGTAAATTGGCGATGCATCGAAGGAAGAAGATTTATTTGTCATTTCTACATCATTTGAATAATCTTTGAATGAGAATGACAAACTGACGTCTTAATCCTAGCACATTCCTATGACAAATTTAGTTTCAGTTTAGCACCAGAAGTTGTGCTTGAAGAAGCTTAGAGTGATGTCCATATAACATTAGCCTTACCAGGTTGACCGGGTGCAGACTGTTGTTCTCGACCTTGTCCTGTTGTAGGACCTGTCTGAGGTGCGCTATGTACGATGCCGCCAGCCGTAATGTGTCCAGTTTGGAAAGCTTGGTGTCTGGGGGCACCCATGGCAACGTGGTTTTCAGCGTCACAAACGCCTTGCTCATCGTCCGCATTCGGGATCTCTCCCGAGCGTTGGCGGCGTTCCTCTGCTCGGGTTTCGGCTTGGCGTCCTTCTCGCCCCAGCTGGCCCGCTTGCGGCGGCGCCGTCGAGCTCGGTTCTCGGGAGAGGCTGCACCTTGGCCCGGTGAACTTGTCTCGACGTTGTCGGCAGTCGTGCTCTCCTGATCGGTCTCGATGAGTTCCGCGGCCGTGTCGTTCAGCTCCTCGGTGTCGCTTGGCGTTCCCGTCGACATTGCGAGATGGACGATACACTCCAAGTAAGGAAAGGTTCTGTATATAGGCAATGCACAACCACGTTTCTAACTTTATCTTACAGCGCCGTATTTTCTTCTATACTTCACAGGAAATTCTCCTGGAACCCAGGCTTAAAGCCAGGTCACATGTACCTAACACAAGTGCAAAAGTCAGAGCAGTAATTCCAGGCCAGCACCAGTTGACAGACACGTCCGCAACGCGCCTTTTATCGACTTGGATAGGACCGTACCAACAGCGTGGTGCAGGGGGGTGACAGTCGATGTGAGATTTACTTGAACATGTGCGATTATGACTTTCTTGTCTAACATATAAATTTCTTGGAGTTATCATCTAACGTTACATAGTTACGTTTTTGGGTTACAAATCTGTTCGGATGTTAAGACACATAAGTAACCATACATCAAGTCATATTAAAACAAAGTTCTTTCCACTTTTACACACTACAAAATATCGTACAGTGGGGCACATGGTTCGTGTTTAGAAATGTATACTATTAAGATGAGAGGGGAGAAATTTTGTGTTAGATTGCAAATGATAAACCATCCTATCGACAGGTTCTGAATCTTGAACTGAAAAAAAATCCGCCGACTGTTCAAAAGTTGCGGGAATAGAAATCCGAAGCTATGTATATTGTTGTTATATATATATGTGAGCTGTGGGTTACTGTATTATTTGTTTTTGTTGTTGTTTACGTGCACCTGTAGGTAACAAAATCAATGGTTGCAATGAATTCGAATTGAAATAGGTAAACAAGCGTGTAGTTCGGTTTAATATTTGTCTTGCCACGGTGTGAGTTAACTCATCGTTTGTCCAAGAAATTAAAAAAATTACACTGTTCAACAAAATGATAAATTCTACCCACACACAAAAAGGTGTTCGTCAAATGACAGTTGCTTGTATTCCCTTTTCACGTATGTTCTTTTTATTTCATGTTTTGTTGCTCTAATATGCATGTCGTCATCGTCCAATATAGTCGCTCATGTATTAAACGTTACACGTAATATTTCCACATGATCGTCACTTGTACCATAGAATTTCCATCACTCATTAGTCGTTACTACCATGTGATATCGATACATCGGCGGTAACTACATTTCTGGCGTGACTAAGCAGATTTGGCGATGGTAGATTAGTGTGTTAGTACCACGGACCACCATGAGTGGCCGGCTTGGTGCGGATCCTTGCCGTGTATCTTAATTCTCATCTACGTTTAAATTCATGAACTGCCTAGTCACGATACACTCATTTCTAGTCGTTTTGCCACATCGTTTAGTATCATTTGTCTATCAAAGTAAAAGTCGAGCATTTTGTATTTCTTTTAAACTTTTATCAAAATATGCATATGAGAGGAATTATATATACGCTGTATCTGTAGAAATGACTCTATTTAATCTCTAATATGGCATTTATGTAGTAATGCTGCATGCTGTGGTCAGATTCCACGAGGGCTTGTATTGAAGAAGACTTCATATTATGGAAATATTGACAACTCGAATAAACTTTTAGCTGCACATAGCTTGCTTATACACCGTTCTTCGTAAACCTGTTCACGTGAATACCGTTTAGGTCCAAGACATACTGCTAGCTTTTCTTGTGATCTTAACATGAGAACCAGTCACTTCTGCCTGTCTTCGTTGTTTACACGCGCCATAATGCCAACTGTTCAGCCATACCTCCAATTCCTTCCTCCATTTTCTCCGCGTCCCAGAGGTGGTATTTATCGCATTATATCGCACAGAAAAATCGGGAAAATGTTCTCCGGAATAAGATTGTTTTTCCTGCGAGCTTAAGGACAACAAGTTGGGATCAGTTTCTTTCCGCCTGTGCTGACCCCAGGGATGGCTCGCACGCAAGGCGGGGTTACAGACACCGCCGGAGCCGTCCTCTGGTGCACGGGAAACCGGCACACTTCATCTCCCTTTTCCTTTTTTATTCCAACATGTAATAACAAGACGTAGTGACGCACGGCACACTCAAGTTTTATCAACTTTTTTTTCATATCGCCGCCAACAGAGAGGACAATACAATGCCCATTTTCACCTGAGTGAAGTGAGCAAAGTCATGTAAAGTGACTTTGTCAAGGGCACAAGACCGGTGGCATGACAGGGTTCGAACCCGGGACTTCTTGGTCCTGAGACGAGCACGTTACCGTTACGCCACACGACCCCACTTTTCTTTTGTTCAGTACATTTTTTCCGTATGCCATTCATCTGGTCCAGTGAGGTCTGTATCAGTTGCACAGTGTCCACAGATAGAACTTCGTCGATGAGTTGCCCTGCTCATTCTAACTCTCTTGGTTTCCGTTGCTTTCTTGATGAGTGTAACATTTAACAGGAAAACTTTCAGCATAATGTTTTCAGAATCAGTACGTCAATCCATCCATCCATTCATCACTGTCATATATTCATTAGCATTTCATCCGTGGCTCATCTCTTCACCTATCTTTACAGACTACCGATTATCCCTTCGTTAGTTCGTCTATCCTTTTATCAGTTAAGCCACCTCTCCATCAACATGTCAGTTGTCTTAATCCTCATTCGCTTCAACCAGAGACAAACTGTCAACTGTCTTCCTTTCATGAGTCCTTTGCCCATCAATATTAAATTGTAATGAAACTGTACTGGTAAATAGATCTAATATGTAGACGTCCTTAGTAACATTTTGTACCATGTTCGTGTAAAAATCTGTGAATAGATTTAGTAGGACGTTATATAGGATGTAAACGTTATCTTCCTGATATGTTTTGTCTGGTCTCTTCCCTCATGACCTCAATGAAAAACGGTTTGCATAGTTCAAAGAATGGTTCAAACATAAAAATGAACACGCACGGACTATCCCGTATGTGTATTTGTAAACTCGTGTTGTTGTGACCTTTGCTTAGTCCAATGGGCCAAATACGTACTACAGAGGTTTTCATTCATCCATTCATCAGAACATGGCCGTCATGCTACCTACCCCGCATGCGCACAGCAAGTAACCCTCGTGACGTCTCGCGTGGATTGCGTGCGACCGTCCAATATCTTAACGTGGTAACACTAATCCCTCAAGTCTTTTCATTAAGCCAAGGTTCTTTAACATGTAAACTGTGTATCTAAGATCCCGATGTAGAATCGTGTCTTTGTCTTCAGCGATGAGGGTGGGTTGGCCGTGTGAAATCCCGACGATGTGAGTTTTAATTGCGAAAATCCCCCGTTGATTATTTTTGCTAGCTCGAAGCGGGGATGACAGCTAATTGTCCGTAAAGCTGGAGCTGATACTGCTCGATACCGTGTAATGTTGAACAGCGTTATGGATTAGTAACACGACCCTACAGGAAGCACTACTGTATACAGACCGTCTACTTGTAATATTTCTTTATCTCACTTTTCCTTCATCACTTATAGGTTTATCGTTCTAGACTTGGGCGTGTGAAATTCCAGTTTCATAAACAGAAAAGTAGCAGAAGTGAAAGAGACGAGACAGAACAACATCGAAACAGGAAATGAAGTAATAAAGGAGTGAAAAGTGAAGAATGGAAGTCATCTAGATCTGTACCCCTTTTCATATTGTAACAAAAGATTTCTTATACATGTACCTCAGTACTCAAGACTGTCCAGAGCCGGGAAAGGACAACTATCACGTTTAATTGAATGTCCCAAATACTATGATGTGCATAGCACATTATATACACTCCTGTTATATGCTATACCAGAATTCTTCTCAATGGATCATAGGAGCAAAGTGAACTACGCACTGGTACATGGGTGATAATCCCTACATTTTAAATATAGAACTGATTGGAAACTCCAAAATTGTTCAAGTATGTGTAGTCTCGTCAAACTACATACTAGTTGCATAATTCCACCAAAAATTGTACAAGTGTCTCGTCCTATACTACAGACTAGTCTACAGTAGAGAAGATAAGTTTCCTAGAATTGTTGTACAAGTACTGTGTATTATCTACAACTGTTATGTAATGAAGTCATTACTATGGATCTCTCCATAGCCGCCACAAGCAATGTTCGAGCAACCGTCAACATAGTAGTAGCCAGCTGCAGTATAACAGAAACCCAGACCCTCTAAGGTTAACAGTCGGAACTGACGTCCAAACTTTTCACATCTCTAATAGTAATAAGACACTCATTTCTTTCAAGACCTTCGCTGGGCATATTTAGTAAACTTGTGGCTGAAACAAAATCCTCGACAGAAGAATCTTAAGTTTTGTGCAGAGAGAGGATCATTGTTACACCACAAAAATTCCACATCAGCAATTTTAGACGCAGCACCAGAGAGAATGCATGTACAACACACGTCAGTTCTATCATTGTAATAACAATGCACCAGCACTAAATTGGGGTTAGCGCAACCCTTAATCACACGTACATGTACTTAAATACGAAGTAAACAAATCCAAAACATCTTGGTTGGCAAAGGGTATTGTCATTTTAAGACAAGTCTTTTTTATTATCTGTGATTCATAATAATCCAACTGTGAAAATAGAAATACATAAGTCTACTCAAATGAATTATCTTTTTGCCCTATTATCAATCGAACTATTTCATGTCGTTGAAAACTGACATTATTTTAAAAGATAATATAAACCTTGCATCATCAATGCTACAGAAGGCCGAGTGTTACTCAGAAAAAGGTGCACGAAGAAGGAACAGTCAATTCCATATAGAAATTGCACCTCAATGCCGTAGCGTAGCATATAAAAATTGCAGTCGTCCAACATAGGTAAACATGCAGATTGATAGATAGATAATTAGAGAGATAGACGTATAGACAGACAGACAGACAGACAGATAGACAAACAGACGGATAGTCAGTTTGGAAGACAGATATAGATATATAGATATACATATTGATAGATAGGTAGAGGGATATTTAGCTATCTAGCTAGCTAGATACTTGTAGATAGAGAGAGAGAGAGAGAGAGAGAGAGAGAGAGATAAATATACAGACAGACAAACGGACAGATAGTAGAGTGGATGGACAAAGATAGATAGATGGATAGGTAATTAGATAAAGATGGCTAGATAGATAAGTTAAAGCAGGACAGCTGTGTCGTGCTTGTTGTGCAGACTCCGTGGTGTGCTACTGATCCTCAC